AGGTATGTGTTTCTGAGTTAATAGGATGAGCTAAACATTCAGCTCTGGGATTTCTAGATAAACTAGGCCTGAAAATGAAATAGCATAGTCCCAGTACCATAGAGAGGGAAGAAAGAAAAAAAGGAAGCAAAACCCCCCAAAAGTCTAGTGCAATAAGTTGCATTTCACCAAGCTACGCCTAAATTAAGCAAGAAACACCCACACACTGCTGACTTGGCCAAGACAGTGGAAACTGAGTCTGCTTAAAAACAGACTAAGGCACAGAAGCTAACACAAAAGGCAAAAAGCAAGTGCTAGGCTAGCAGGTGCAAGGAAGGAATATTTAGTAAATACTAGTAGCCTTTAGAGGTAGGACTTAGAGGTATCATATCCTTATGATGCTATTTTCATATAGCTCTTATATAATTGTATGTGTCTATGATTATTCAAAGATAACAGTCAACGGAAGTGGACAGGATTACCAAAGCCGTTCTCTCACTCAAGGGACTACAGGGTCAGTATATTTTTGTATGCCACCCTATTTCTTTTCTCCTTTATAGCTAAGAGGGAAAGAAAAACGAAACTTGTTACAGATAAAGTTGAGACTTCAAGTTCAAAGTAATTGGGGGGGGCGCTCTACGTCTGCCTAAATAATTAGGCATGTACACAAACTCACAATTTCCTTATGATATACACACCTCTTTTTAGAAAGATTGAGAAAATAACCCTACACAAAGGAATTAGCCTTTCAGAGAAGGGAAAGGCTAAAAAAACAAAAGGATGAAATTGATATTTATTTTTATGTATTTCATTATATTCATTCACATCATCTGCATATGTCATTAGTATGACTATACTATATTCATGCAAACTATGTTGCACACAGCCTGAAAGGGAGAGAATAAAGTAGGGGCTAGGAAATTGAGGGGCAGAGTCAAAATGAAACTAGGTGGAAAACAACAAACCTTCTTCCATACTTTGATTTGAGCAAACGTCCATGAGACCAATAAGAAGTCCATACCTGTTTTCAGAACCGCACACTTCTTAGGGTGCTGCCAGCCTCATAGAACTGGAACCATAGGAACAGGTGATTTTCTCCAAAATTCCCCAGAAAGTAGCCCTGTTTTCTTTAGCAGTGATACAGAATGGGTATCAGGCCACCCTGTAGTTCAGTCACCATGATGACTGCCAACTCTGTTGACCTTTTGCAATTTAAAAGTAAATTCTAAGCTGGAAATTTCCCGGTTATATGTTTTTGAATATTCCCGCCAATTGAATCAAATCCAGCAACATCCCGATTTCGACCGAAGGCTTCGATTTGTACACTCTCTAATATATGTCTGGGAATAGAAGCCAGAGAAGTATTTATGTGTAGTATTCTTGGAAGATTTGGAAAGCAGGGGTAGCAGGATTTAGAATGAGTAATGGTAAGTATATCATAGATCTTATGGGGAAAAACAAAGCATTGAAAAAGAGAAAGAGAGGAAGGAAGGTAAAGAAGCTGATTCAAAACAAAACAAAACAAAACCTGTTCCTCTCTTCTTGGAAACACTTAGCACAGAGCTGGGCCAGAGTCACCGACAGAAGGACCAGACAACAAAGGCCAAAAGAGAGAGACTTTCATCTCAAGATCACTGTCCTCTACTATGATCAGTTGTCTTCTCCTTACACCAGAAGGCCACCCTTCTTTTTCATGTTCTTTTCTCCAAGGAGTCACACAAACCCTTAAAAACAGACATTTCCCCAAACATTTTGCAGTGGACAAAGAGGAAAAACATAGATGATGTCATTCTGTATTTTACCTGACTTTCCAGAAGACAGGCATTCTAAAAAAGGATTACCAGAAAAGTACATGAACTTAAATTCAAATGCGGTTAAAGCTTAATTCAGTATGTCCCTTCAAGGGAAAAAAGCAACTCTGTTCTGAAATGTGAGTAATAACATCCTCTGACTTCTATTGAAATGACACCTGAGATGTAAGAGGAAAATCCCTCCCTTTCAAACTCAGGCTACAACTCAATCTCATCACAAAAACTGAGTAAGAAGCAGGATCTGCTCACCTATTCGAGAAACAGCTTGAAATGCCAGAACAGAATGAACTATGGACTTGGACATCTAGTCCGCCAGGAGAGAGGTCTGAGAAATTCTCATTACCTGGATCTGTTTTAGTTGCCTAGCCTTCTTGAAATTTTCCACCCAAGCGCCGGTAATGCCAGGGATGGAAAAAAGAAGATACGTGATAAAAATGACATGGCTTTGAATTCTTAGTTTTTCTTAAAACCTAAGATTCATAAGCTAAATAAGATTCACACTGACGTGCTTTCTTCTGCATAATATATCTCTTTGGTCTCAATTCAAGTTTTTACTCCAAATCAACAATTAAAATCGACTTCAAGAAAATGTGTCACTTTCATCTTGTGACTCTCCATTCCCGTAGGTGCACATCTATATACCTCAGCACTCAAGATGTTAGAGTAAAGGACTCCTGCTTTGTTTTGTTTTCCTTGGTTTCTATTCAATCACTGTTCAATTAGTGGGCACTATGTATTCTTTCTCTGATGTTCTCCCCAAAATTATCTTCCTCAGTATGTTAAAGGTTTATCTTAAGAATTCAAAACTGATTTCCAAAATCCAGTCTTGGCTCTTTACCTAAATATCAAACTAAAACTACTTACACTCTTACTATACTGTGATCAAAGCAGGGAACACATCTTTGCTGACATACTTCTTCTCAATGACGGTTTTGGTGGTTCTGAATAGAAAATCTTTTACCACGCCTAGAAAACCTGCTGGCATCTGTATCCTGGAAAAGAGGCATTGCCTTCCTAGAAGAAAGAATTCTGGAACTTGTCTAACGATGACTTTTCATGGCTGATCAGAGAGAGTCTGTGAAATTAACTGCAAGATAAAGTGTGGACAGAGCACAGAAAGATAAAAGTGTGGACAGAGCACAGAAAGCAAGTCCAGATACCCCGACTGAACAGTTCTCTATTCTGCAAATGAGTGTCTAAGCCAGAAGATGCTAGATTCAGCTTAGAATGAGATTTTTCCACCTTCATGCTTTCCATAAATGTACTATAATTTTTGAGAAGCCAAACACAAATAACTCCATAGCCTATGATTCTATTTATATGAAAAATCCAGAAAAAGGAAGATTTATAGAGATAAAAGCAAACCGGCATTTGTCTAGGGCTAAGGGTAAGAGCAGGGATGAACTGCAAAGGGACATGAGGAAAATTTGGGAGTGGGGATGGGGTGACGGAAAAGTTCTAAAAATGTGATTGTGGGGGTATTTGGACAACCCTATAAATTTAATAAAAATCACTGAATTGTAGGCTTACAGTGGATGAACCTGTGGTATGGAAATTATATCTCAATAAAGCTGCTTGAAGAAAGAGAAAATGCCAGTCTTTAGGAAAAAAAGGATGTTTCAATTAGTGATGTTTCAATTCATTGCTTAAATTAACTGAAAATGATGCCAAGACAAGCATAAAACACTCTACTTCAGGACGTGGTTGTTTATATTGATTTTTTACATTTCTTTTCTTCTGTTAATTTACATAGAATGTTCCCCCGCCCCCAGAAAAGCGGATTTAGGCTTTATGAATTTATCATCCCGATAATCAATCTCCCAAGAAAGAAGATTAAACTAGTAGCACCTATAAAATATAATGGAATAAACAAGCAAATGAAATATAAAACTTGGATGATTTCTTTTTCTGAATTTGTTCCTACTGAAAGGCCCTAATGAGAAAAGAAGTACAAAATGAGGGGGTAATACTGAGAATCATGTGTGTTAGATGCTCAACCAATCCAAATTTGTCTTCATGGATCCAGAGGAGGAACATATCCCCAGCTTCCTTTGCGTTTTGGATGGAGTCACGTCTGAGAAAATATGGGCAGAAGTGATGTACTGGGCCATCACTTCCAGGCAAGTTAATAAAAACACACTGCATTGTATCCAAGCTCACTCTCTCTCTTCCTTATGGATATGGCTGGAAGTGAAGAACTCCAAGATGGTAGACCAAGGTCATGAAAGAATCCTAGATGCTGAATTACTTGAAGAGATCTGGCACTGGCACTGAATTTTGCCTGAAGGAGAAGTAAACCTGTCTTCCGTTGAGCCACTGAAATGTTGGGATTGTTTGTTATAGCTAATTACCCTAATTACCCTAGTTAGTTATTTAATTATCTTAACGGATATAAGATGCCATAAGGCTCAAAGTATATTTCTTCCTTTTATCAACTAGACCTATTCTTTCCCTCCTCCCCATCCTTCCTCTTTCTCTTCCGGTTCCCTGATCTCATGACTCCAGTTAATGTTCATTTCTGAGGCAGAGAAAGAAACACGTGAGTACAATTCAGCCTGCACTTCCTGATCATCCTTCTTCAAGAACCAGAATGTTTGAATGGGATAAAGTAAAAATAATAGGCTGCAATTTTTCATTCAGAAGAGCCAGAATGTTTCTCAAGCCTTTGGTTAAAATGTTGCATTATCACCAAAAACAATGCTTTGTGCCCACCCTCTGAGGTGAAGGAAAAAAAAAAAACAACAACCTACAGCGGTAAATGCTGGGAAACAAATGTCAGAGTTGGCAGCCACCTTCTGGGTCATGAACTTTGCTTTTATTTTCTGAAGCTGTCAGTAGTGGAGAAGTGCATTCTGGTTGCTCTAATGCTTTCTGTCCACCCCTGAGGATTATTTCCCCAAAACAACAAATTACCATTTCAATTCATTTTCAAGTTCTTTCCTTATCCAGGTGCCCTTTCCTCCTTTTCTGCATAAAGAGCAAATGCAAGGAAAGAAGAGAGGACCTACCCCAATTCTGAAACCACACCCTGCGCGACAATCATCCCATGACCCTCACCCCAGCCCTTCATCTTGTCAACCCCCGTTCCCCCCAACTCCATAGTCAGAACACAAAATAATTCAAACAAAAAACAGCTCATAAAACAGTAAACAAAATAAAGTCAGTTTTTCTTTTCTTTAAGAACAAAATGAAACTTGAGGGAAAACTTACTGGAGTTACAGTTTATCCTGATACAGTCTAGATGGGGAAAAATAAATGAAAGATGAAATTGCATCCTTCAAGGTAACAGCTGCAGACATCCAAAAACAATCAGTCCACCCTTCCGGGGACAGACACACGCAAGAAATGTGGCCATTTTATATATATATACGGTATGTACAAGCTTAAGGGTGGGTGTATATGTACAGTATATCATTTAGTAAAGTTGGATACATATATATATACACACACACACATATATATATACACATATGTATAGAGATGTATACTGGTATACATATATATCCACAATAGACACCAAGTATGCCACTCCTTTTTTTTTTTTTTTTTTCAAAAAACCTACTCATTTATATAAAGGATTTCACAACTGAACTTTGAAATATTACTTTTGTTTGACTTGGAAAATTATGCAAAAATTTCCCCACCAAATGCAGGTTATAGTCTATGTCCCCCTATAATGATTTTCTCCAAATTTGTCTTTAAAAGTAGCATCAACACAGTTTTTGTATTAGTATTCCAAAGATATATCACCAATCTGACACACTGTTTATTTTTTCAAAAAAATCTGTCCATGAAGTTTCTCAGTGCAGTATTTAACCCTTTCTCTTTTTCTGAAAACAAACTCCCTCCACCCTCTTCTTTGCTCAGGCCCCAGATGCCATAGAAATTTACTTAGGCAGACTTGCCATTATCCCTAGAGATAAGGAAAGGGTTAATACCACCTGGTCATTTCCTGTCATAAAATGGCCACTTGCAAACAGCTAACCGCACAAACACCCGTCCCAGATTTTAGAGAGGTGGAGTTGGGTGGTGGGTCAAAGGAGTTGTATGATGTTATCACGATGGACTGGGTTCTCTGCTATTGTTTCAAAGGCTCCCAGACCAACCCACTCATGAAGCCCATCTTCGTCTTCCTGCCTGAATGCTCAGACTAAATCAAGTGCCTACAGCATTCAAGGAGAAGGCGAGACAGGTTTATGAGGAGGAGGTCTTGGGCACCTTTGACATCCTACCTATCTCACTCTGTAATTCTGAATCTTGAGGGAAGAAAATTCTTTTTTTTTTTATTTTTTTATTTTTTAATGGGAAAGGGAGGCAAGAAAGGGTGGCTGATTTTCTAGTTCTGATAACCCAACAGGTTATCCTATGTCAGAGATCTGAGTACCTATCCTTTTATTAACATCTGTTTAGAGTCATGAACACTCAGCACAAAAGGTCTAGAGTAAGTCAATGATTATTTGCAGGGGATTGGGTAGAATGGTTAAAAAAGATCTCAGATTAGTTGTTACAAATTTGCCCAGTTAAAACTAAATTTGATTTATCATGGTGGGAATTTCAATAAGAATTTGTTTAAAGCTGGAAACTAAAAAGTAGAAATAAGACAAGAAAAGGAAAAAAAAAAAGTTACAGGAAAAAAATTACAGTTAGAAACTGAGCTCTTCTGCCTAAGGCTGACCCAGTAGTTTTGGAGGACTTGTCAAGGATAAGGCCACCATTTGAATTTCCCAAAGTAAAACATCTTAAGGAAGCAAGTGAAAGAGGAACCAGTGGCAAAGGACAGGGCAGAATAAAATTATGGAAATCCAGACAGGAGAAATCTAGAACACCCAATCATTCTGAGGAAGGAGGTGGGACACTTATTTGTTCCCCAGAAGAACATCTCTTGAAAAAAATCTGGGTTTGGTTTCGTGCGGTTAGGTTTGTCATGTGTCGTCAACCGCAACAGAAAAGTGGGAGCAAACAGCCCTGGAGCAACTGGTACGATCACCAAACAGAGGAGGCCATGCCCCCAGTGAGGACTGGGAACAGGGGAGGGCAAGTAGGGAGGAAGGGGTGGGGCTTCCGCTACCAGCAGCACCTGCCATCAGCCAAAGCTGGAGAAATGCCCCTTCCTGATGTATTCAGGAGACAGGGGAAACAGGTGTATGGCCATGCTTAAAAGAGAAGGGAAGAGGAAGAGGGGGCCTAAAGCAACAAATCTGAGAACCGTCAACAAGAGAGGGTTGTCTTCTTTTGTTTCTACGCTGTTGAGGATTTTACTTTTAGTTTTTATTTTATTTTTTTAAGGTTTTATTTATTTATTTGTTTGAGAGAGAGCACAAGGGTGGGGGAGGAGTGGAGGGAGAAGAAGCACGCTTCTCACCGAACAGGGAGCCCAAGGCAGAGCTGGATTCCAGGACCCTGAGATCATGACCTGAGCAGAAGGTAGATGCCTCATGGACTGAGCCATCCAGGTGCCCTGAGGATTTTATTTTTAGACGAGGACCCAGTCTAGAGAAAGGTGCTGGATTCACTCAAATGGTTCCATGAACTGAAAGATGTCTCTAAACCAGTGTGAGGATTTGGAGCTTTCCAGAGGGCAGACAACTGATTAAGCCAAGAAGTGACAGATTATTTGGACACTTTACCTGAAGAATAAGTAGATCAAGGGAAAAAAAAATCCATCCCAGTGCCTTGCTCATAGGCTCTGAGATGGCAGTCTTGTTAATGAGGTTGTATTTTTTCATGCAAAATGAATCCAGGGAATTGGGCTGGGAAAGCAACTTCCTTTAGATCTACCTTGAGTAGCCGCAGAAGTTGAATCTCTGCCTTTCCCTCGGCAAGGTACCCGCGGGGTGTCTGCTTGTCTGTATATGTCTGTGTTTTTCATCCTGTTTCATTTAGATGCTTTTTTGTTTTATTTTTGTAAATGAGAGATTATTATTTTCTAGATGAGTAAGCTTTGGGTGGAGAGCATGGAAGAGGTAAAATTTTCTAGGACTGGTATGTGTTCAACAGTGCACACTGTAAATGTCGTCAGCAAGCCTGCATTGCCAGAGACAGAGCATCTGGAGAATTTGAATGCCACTGACCAAACTGCATGATACTCCCTACGGGCCTCCTCCATTGAAGAAGGCTCGCTGGCGTTCTGCTGAGGATTCCAAAGGGCCATGAGCACATGCCAATGCTGACTGACTTTTCAGCTGTATGGCTTAATTCAAACTAGGCACTACGGAAAAAAGACTCCCTCTGGGCATGTTTAAAAAAGTAACCATCATGAAAGCAGTTAGAAGTCATTAAGACTGCCACATCATTGAGCCACACAGGATTGACCTGTGGAGATAACAGATAACCCATGTTGATTTAGCATTTTAGAAACCCAGGTTCTAGTCTCAGCTCCACGATGAACTTTTTATGTTAGCTTTGAAAAGTCCTACATTTCTTTCTTTGTCTCACATCTGTAAAAGAAAGCATAAAAACACTTCCCTGGCTTATCTCCCAAGATTACTGGCCAACTGAAGTGAGATTTTTAAATCTTTCAATTTACTATAATCATAAAATGTTATTATTGTATTTTTAATCGTAAGGGATCAAAAGATTTCAAAAACGGGCTGTGTGTTGTAGGACCTTTCTGACACCAGCTCTTACCACACCTGGTTGTCTTCAGAGAGCAAGGCCCTTGGGAAAGCCTAGTCTTCTGGACATTTAGGAGATGGATACATTACATCAGAGAAATACATACTAGGCTTTACATCACGAGCGTATATGCATGACCAATTTGAAATAAACTGTATTATCATTTGTGCATAGGCTGGAAAGGAGACATAATTGAAATGGTGAACAAAATGATCACCTGAAATTAGTTCTTTTGGCATAAGTGTGCATGCAAACCCTCCTTAGAGATGTTTTCTTCTCTAACGAAGGAAAGGGAAATACGAACTCATATTGGGAGAAAACATTCACACAGGGGTATATTTTGGCGAGGGAAGGGAAAGAGAACCTTTAAACAAAGCATGAACGTAAGGAGTTTTGTATACATAAGCACAGGGAATTTCAGTTCAGTTTTCCAGGTTAGGTTTGAAAGTAATTTAAATAAATTCAAACCAGTCATTCTAGTGAACCACACTCTTCAGGGAAAAAAAAGAAGTCACTATTGCTTCTGAAAAGCACAGGGCTCTCCAACTGCATCGTGCCCAAGATATCTCAGCATTGGAGGAGCTAGACTGAGTATATGCTAGAAGGAATCAAGAGGCAAATGTAGTCTTTTTGAGAGGTACTTCTCCCAGATTTGGGGCAAATAGAAAAAAATGTTTCTAGGAATACACATGGGAATTCTTACTAACCGCCATGTGTGTGTATGTGTGTGTGTGTATGTGTGTGTGTAAGACAGAGAATCTGTCCATCTCCTTCCTCATCCCTTTTTATCTTCCCCCACTTGTATCTCCTTCTAAGATATGAGACCTACCACCATCGGCTTTCTCATTTTATAAAACAATGTCTAAGAAGGAAAATCTCTTTTCTGTTTAGCGATGGTATACATTTCCCCGGGACCCCATGGGGCTAATCATGCTTATCTACGTGCTTCTCTCTTACTCTGAAATAGATGTAGAGTTAAAAATTGTCTTCATCTTTTTCTGTGAATTATTTAGGATATTATGTTCATTTTGTTGTTTATTTGTTTTTATTAAATTTTTTAATTTCTCCTGCTCTTTTTGAGGGAACTAAACGATCAGCTACTGGTTGTTGGTTTTAGGTTATACACACTGTCTGGTTGGTTTGTGGGAGGTGGGGAGGATGGTGCAAGGGTGGGGAAGGCGGGAGGGACGGGGGTATGCCAGCCCCTGCAGGCTGCTCAGTACACTCTGTTCTCAAGGCTGTTTGCTATGCGGGCCGCAGGCTTTGGGCCTTTGAAGGGTTGAATACCATCTTTTGATTTACCATGGCTGATGGTGGGAAGGACTGAAAACTCAAGAACACAAAGATCCAGCAAAAAGAAAAACAAAACTCGAAGTAACCAAACACACACATACACACACCAAAGAAAAACCAACAGACACACTGACAACAGAAATCAAATGAGGTTGGACAAGAAAAAGGGCAGAGTGTTGTAAAAGCTACAAATTGGAAGAAAAAAAAAAAGACATAAGTGAAGCCACTGCTCAAAACAGTCCTCTGCGTCCTAGAGATTTCCAGGATCATAGTGTAGGCATTTTCCAAGTGCGACCAGTCGACCTGACAGCAGGTAAGACTGGTGTGGATTCCAAACTCCACCTTCTCACTAGGCCAGCTAAGGTTTAATGTGGTCTTGTATCTGGTACAGTTGTCCATCATGTCTTCCCCATGCCTCTGACAAGCCATTCCACCGGAATCTTTATAAAGGGGCTCTGTACCCAAACATACACTATATACCCCACAAAATCCCTGGCTTAGGAAGCTTGGACTCAGCCATACCACTCATCCTATTGACACAGGGCACTGACTTTCTACCAAGTAGAAGTGAGGTTGGTTTCTTTCCTTCCAGAAATCAAGAGGTTCCCATCCTTCAAAGAAGATCAGTTGGAAATCAATCAAGGTCAGCAGCAGGAGCAAATGTGATGCCACCAGGAGGGGAGTTTCCAAAGTATCTATTACAGGTAATTACAGCAGAAGAACAGATCTTCTCCCGATAAAGCTGCGAATTTGAAATTGTCATAATGTTCCAGTACCAAGGACGGAGGAACAGGTGAGTGACAGTGCGACATGGCAATCTGGATAAAAGGGGCTGCTAGATGACAGGGAAGAATGTCAGGAAAGAAGAAGGGGATCATATCAGGAACCACATTCTCCTTCCACATGTTAGAGACTCTATAAACTTACAGAATTATTTCTCCAATAGGACAAGAGTAACAATCTGACTCGTCCTCCCCGCTAGGAGAAAGCATAAGGCAATAGCAGTGCCCCCAGAATTCCCCGTTTGTGGAGAAAGAAACAGTGCACCTTTCATCCTCCTCACAAAGCTTAGTTCTCTCCAACCCCAATGTCCCATTTTGCCTCCATTTGTTGTCTTATCTCTGCCCTGGGCTTTGACTGTTTTGAGTGGTGACCAAGGAGTTGGACTGAATGGCAATGTGATTGATCAAAAGATGGACCAAAGTAGCGTGTTTTACACAAAGCTAAACGGTTCCAAAAAACCAAGAAAGGAAACTTAAAAAATAAATAATCTAGTAAAAAAAAAAAACAAAAAAAACAAAAAACCAAAACCAAAAACAAAATCAAAAACAAAAAACCACCACTGTCAGAAACCAGAAATTGACATCAAAACCTCATGCAGAAACAAGAAGAAGGTGTTTGTTGCCGTTGGGTTTTATCCTTGGTCTATTAAACAAGAGGTGAGCAGCTAACTTTTAAGAAACAAACAAAGAATTCAATCAAACCAATGAAAATCAGAAAAGAAAGGGAGGACAAGCCCAAACAAAGTGGCGGAGGGTACTTCATACGATACCTAAGTTAACCATGAGCTTGACACGCCCCCCATCCAGCTCCAAACGCAGGGTGTCCGCAGAGTCCCTGGAGGTAGTAGCCACCAGCAGCCCATAAGCTCGCTGGGACATGAAGCGGAAGGAGACATCTTCTGCCTCGGTGTGCATGACCATGGGCATGATGATCTTCATGTACATGCTGCCATCGTAGCTCAAGATAGACGCCTCTGCAAAGAAGAACGGAGGAGATTGTCAGGATGAAGGATATCAGAGGTTCCCTTGACTTCCAGGGTGAGGACGGTAGGGTAGAGACGGCATGAAATTTGTAGCCAGGTGATTCATGTTGGATAGACCTCCAGTGCCACCACTTTCAAGCTATGGGACCTTGGGAAGACCACTGAAATTCTGAGGGCCTATTTCCTTGTTTGCCTTTACAAGGCATACAATGGCACAGGTCCCTGCCCCACCATCCTCATAGACTTATCAAGTGTGCCAAATGAAATAACGGATGTGAAGATGTTTCATAAACATGAAAGTGCTCCCCACAAATAGTAGTAATTTCATTCCATGTGCCGTAGACAAAACAAAAAATGCATGAAACAAAACTTAGCCTCCTGAAAGTATTTCATGAAGAACAGGAGGAAAGCAGCAATCTAGAACCACCATAGCAGACATTTGTCAGAACTTCTAGAAGGAGGAAAGAGCGGCAGCCTGGCCTGGTCCCCACACAGCCCTAAGTGGCCAGGCACTGTATGAGTTTGTTTGAGTCATTCAAAGAGGATCTACAGAAACAGAGCTAGAACCACCAACACAAAAAGATGATACCCCAGTAATTCTGCTTTTATTCAAATAGTGCTTCTCTGAGGAAGGAAGAAACTTGCTTTTGTTTGATGTCTTCTCTAGCCCAATCACTTTGGCCAGGAGTGGCCCCATGCCACCCCATTGTGTTAACTCACTTCGTGTTACAATGTGGATCGACAATTCCTACTTCAAACAGAAAACCAAGGCTCCTGGAGGCAGATGTTAACGTCTCAAAGTCAGACATCCTGGATTTTAAGCCAGTATGTCCAGTACAAAGCTAAGGACTGTTTACACCACCATGTTGCTCAAAATGTGATTATGTTCAATTGTTCATTTAGCAAATAATTTTAGAGAACACAGGAAGAGAAAATCACTTAAATGCCTATGACACCAACCTGCCACTGGGCTCCGTATCTGGCCCCGAGTAGGCCCTCATCAAATATTTGCTGTGGCCAAATAGTCACTACCTACCTACATGTACTATGGAGGGTTTAAAAGTGAAACAGAAAAGGTCCTTGCTCTGAAGGGGGAGATGGCATGTGCAAGTAACCATACTAGAATATAAAAATGGTTAAATGAGGGGGTAGGAAAAGAATAAATGAAACAAGATGGGATTGGGAGGGAGACAAATCATAAGAGACTCTTAATCTAACAAACTGAGGGTTGCCGGGGTCGGGGGGGCGGGAGAAGGTTGTTGGGTTATGGACACTGGGGAGGGTATATGCTATGGTGAGTGCTATGAAGTGTGTACACCTGGCAATTCACAGACCTGTACCCCGGGGCTAATAATACATTATATGTTTATAAAAAAAAATTAAAAATTTAAAAGAAAATGGTTAAATGACCCAGGAAATATATACATCAGTAAAGCCAGGGGCACTCAGAGGAGAGAGACTGCGGCAAGTGAGTAGAGAAGTGGGGGTAGAGCTCAAGATGCTCTTAGTTTGAAATGAAAGAGGTGATGGTATCAGATTCGTCAAGAAAAGGAATATTCAGACAAAAACAAGCTATTCAGTTTAACAGAAGCACTAAGAATAATTTGATAAGTACTTATAAAACAGTTTTTGAGATTACAATAAAATCAATGGACTTGGGTAGATACTGGGATGTAAGTGAATGGTTTTAGATCGAGCAATACCATGAAGCATTAATTTCTGATATTGTGCACCAGGCACTCTTTTTGGTGTTGTGCCTATAACAGTGCACAAAAGAGACAAATATTTTCTGCCCTCATGTATGAAAGAAATCAGAATGGGAAGACCAGGCCAACCACATGGAAGGTATTCAAGACAGTCTATGTCATCATCATTATCACTGCCCTATTTACACAACATACAAAAGGTCATGAAAAGCCAATATAAGTACACCTGCTCATTCCTGAGAAGCAACCATCACCTGGGTAATACCCAAGACATGCTAATTGCTGTACATTACCATCTGCAAACTCTAAAAAGATCACAAATAAAGGTGTAACAGTTGCAGACACTATCACAATAAAAGACATATTATGAAGATGTATTCTTAGATGGGAAACATAATCTCAATTTAACACATGCTCCCGATGTGAAAGAAACTATCTCCTGGAAGAACAGAGTCAAAGAAGATTAAAAATGAGAGCTAAAATTTATTGAGCACTTCCTGTTTGCCTGGTGCTTTCTAGAACTTTACATGCATTAAGACATTGGATGCTTACAAGAACACCACAAAGAAGACAGTATCAGTATTAGATTTTGTAGGATACCAGGTCACACAGCTAACAAGTGGTAGAGCTGGGAGTTGGACACTGACAGGCTGATTCTTGTGGCTATATCCTTAACCATTCTGCCAAATTGTCAGAGGACTACGCCAGGAGAAACCCATGTTTCTAAGCACTGAAAGAATATCCATAGTGACTCATGGTAGAGTGTGGTGTTTGCGTGTGTGTGTGACACATACATGTTATTATTTAAAACGATACATTATTTACGAACATAGAAAATTATACGAATATAGATAATACATTTCTAAATATGTTATATTTATATGTTATATGAATATCCATAATGCTTTATGTTGGCATAATTATGAACACTATCATTATTACTATGTACCTTCTACTATACACACCCACACATATGCACACTCCTTTTTAAAAGAGATTATTCAGTGAGCCATCAAATGGTTGTTAGGATGTATTCAACTTAAATACAATCCAAAAATAATGGTCACTTTTATCCCTCTGGATATGTCTCGTGCCAGAGCACATGTATAAATAAATGCATCTTTAGGTCAATATTGGTAGTATCAGAGAATAAGTTTCATATGAGTATGTAGTTAAACAGCCAGTGGTACAAAAAAGTGTGCATCTCGATGTGTACCTTTGTGAGCATTTCCATGAGTATGTTCTATGATCAACCTAGTATTTTTTAAGGGGAGTGTGATGAAGCAGAAAATTTAATATAAGAATCAGCTGAAAAAAAATTCATTCCAGGATTCTTATTAATTTGCTTAAAAAATTTCAAACATAAGGAGCACCATGAATAGAGTAATACTTTGAGGGAGAAAATGAGTCTGAATAAGGAAAGTTATAGAATCTGAAACCTGCTGGACTACTGAGTCTTGAAAGATCGTATCACGGGATTCCCGCATAATGGTACTCACACAGTTCCCCTATTTTGTTCCTTTTTCCTTATTTAATATCTCCTTTCATCTTAAATGAATATTTCCTAACATACTAGTTCCATTCCTTTAATGATTCTTTACTATATTTTTGAGCTACTTTCTTAGTGGTTGCTCTAGGTCTTATAATATACATCTTATCAAAATATACTTCATATTTATACTCAATTCCTGTAAGATACAGAAACTTTATTTACATAGCTCTCATCCCTTCCTCCTTATTTTGTTATTCTTATCCACATTATGTCTATAAATGTTACAAACTCAACAATACTTTGTTATAATGATTGCTTTTTTAAAACATATGTCTTCTGGGGGCACCTGGGTGACCCAGTTGGTTTAAGCATCCAACTCCTGATTTCAGCTCAGGTCATGATCTCAGGATCGTGAAGTCCAGTCCAGTCTGCTTGAGATTCTCTTTCTCCCTCTTCTCCTCCCACTCTCTCTCTCTCTCAAAAATAAATGAATTAATTAAGTCTTCAAAGAAAAAATTTTAAAAAACATGTCTTGTTAAGAAGAAAAGAGAAGGAGAGCTCAAATATATTTATGGAGTTTTTTTTTTTTTTTTAAGTTAAGCTTATTATTTACCATTTCTGTCTCTCTTCATTTCTTCTTGCAGATTCAAGATACCATCTGGTGTCATTTCCTTTCTCTAATATAGCTTCATTCATTTGTGGTTTATTGTCAAATATATCACAATTCTATATGTTATAGGCCCAACAATACAATTTTATAGATATTGTTTTATGCAATTGTGTTTTAAATCAGCTAAGAAAAAAAGAAAAAGAAATGGGTAATTATGTTGTCTGTTATCATTACCTACATAATTACCTTTACTGGAGCACTTTGTTTTTTCACATAGATTCAAATTACTGTCTGCTGTCACTTCCTTTCAGCATGAAGGATAAAAGCAGTGAGTAGTTCTTATAACTACTAGGCAGGTATCCTAGCCGTGAACTCTGTTTGAGTTTACCTGGGAATGTCTTTATTTGACCCTGACTTTTAAAAGACAGCACTGTCAGATGGAGGGATCATGGCTGACACTCCTTGTGTTCCAGCACATCAAATGTTGTCTTGCTGCCGCTGGCCTCCACTGTTCTGAAGAGACATCAACTGTTAATCTCACGGCAGCACCCCAGTACGTGACAAGTCATTTTCCTCTTGCTGCTTTCAAGATTTCTTCTTTATCTTTGGCTTCCAACAGTTTTATTTAAATGGGTCTGGATGTATATCTCTTTGAATTTATCCTACTTAGAGTTCATTCAGCTTCTTTGCTGTGTAGATTTATGTTTTTCATTAAATTGGGGAATTTTCAGTCATTAATGCTTTGAATATTTTTTCTGCCCCCTTCTGTCTCCTTTCTTCTCAGTACTCCCATCTTACATATGTTAGACACTTAACAGTGCCTCACATTTCTCTGGCACTCTGTTTATTTACCTTTATTCATTTTCTTTCTTCTATTCAGACTGTAAATAATCTCTTTTGATCTATCTTCCAGTTTGCCAATTCTTCTGTTGACTCAAATCTATTCTTGAGTCGCTTTAGTGAATTTTTTGTTTGGATTCCTGCACTTTGAACTCTCAATTTATGTATTATGTATATAATATCTCCAAATGGAAATTTTGAAGTTGAAAATAATATGATATATATAATTTGTATCTCTTTATTAATACTCACTCTTTAATGATTATCTTACTTTCCTTTTCTTTAAGTGTAGTTTCCTTAATCCTTTTAATATAGTTAACATAATAGTTTCCGTGGAGTCTGT